GGATGGTAACCGATGTAGGCAAAAAAAGTAGGAATGAAAGTCAGCGAAAACAAAAAAGCAAGCGGGTTCGTCGTGCTGCAACAGAGCTATTAAATATTTGAAACAATTAAAAACTAATCTACCTCCAGATATAGTTTTTTATTGCAGTTCTTTGATTGACGGTCGTTGAAATGCTTGTCGGCGAACAAGACATCTAACTTTGCGGGTAGCACTTCAATGATAATTGTAGTAAATAGTCATGCTCACATTTAGGAATAGGTTAAGTTTGTCCTGCGCGGAAATGAATTAAAGACTTTGATATGTGAAAACTGGCTCCATTACAAAATATACTGAGTTCCCTATTCAATCTTTGAAAAACATGTTTTGTTTGCTCATCCAAAAAAGAAAAAAGGAAAGAAACTAATCCTAGAATAGCCTTTACGAGAGTGATCAGTCTCCCCGCTAATGGCTCATTCTGGTCCATTCAGACCATTAATATTTCGATAATATTCTCCTAATATATCATTGATGTGGTAATCATCAGTGCCCTAATCATGATTGAAAAGAAAACGAGAGTGCTATAAACGCTTTTCATCTTCAATAAACTTTTTTTTACTATAGAAGATTAGGTTTTAATGCTAAAGGAAATGACATACTCACGTAAGCGCGCTGCATCTTTTGCAGATAGTTCCTGGTTACGTCCCGCGAGGCCGTCTGTAGCAACGTGCACGAAAGCTAAAGGACCTGAAGACCTAAATACAGTAAAAACCCGCGTATAAGAACCTAGGATTTTTCAAGTTAGCCTAAACAGGTTCTTATATAGATGGTATTTAGTGTTAAATTAGGCTAACTAGGTTCTTAATTAGGTTCTTAACTTTTGTTCAAGAAATAAAATAAAGTTTCATTTTAAGTTGGATTTTTTTATTCAATGAGGACATGTTCTTTACAGTAACCATGTACAGTTATAGTGTTTATAGCATTATTGTGTACAGACTGTGTTATAAAGATATTTTTGAAAAGATTGATTCTATTTCTTTCTTCTTTTTTTAAAATAAGAACCTGTTTTAGGATTTTAGCCTAAAATGGTTCTTATGTGAAGGGTGCTTAAAAATGAGATTTTAGCCTAACAGGTTCTTAAATTTTAGGTTCTTATATGCGGGTTTTTACTGTACTTAGTATGAAGAAAATATAACGTAATGGATGCGAATGGATGAATTTGTCAAATATTGATTAGAGTAGACCATATATCCGTGAAAAGTTAACTAACAAAATTGTACAAAGTGCAAAGTTTGGCAGGTCTACGGTCTACTGAGGTCTATTGAACTTACTAAATTGTGTGTAAAAATTTGTGTAATTTCTTACAAAAATGATTGATCATATTTTGTAATGATTTAGCAAATCTTCTATCTAGACTTCTACTTCAACTATTTGTCGTTCAACCACGACCCGCAAAGCTCCCGTACGCTGTGACTTTTGCATTAGTGACTCGTGACTATTGATGAATTACCGAATAAGAGTGTCGATCACTGCAAACAAGACAGACGGAAATTTATTAGAGAAGTTAAGGTCTCAGACATCCTTGAGCTGATACGGCGGCCAACATAAATGTTATTGTTTTAATCAAGACTTATCAACTACTGGAAAATGTATAGACTGCACTGCTGTCAAGATGGCGTTTCTTAAAATACAATTTTTAAAATACAATTTTGTGCTTTTCAATCTGAAGCAAATCTAAAAAAAACTATTTAATTTGCTGGTAGCTGAAACGATATGTGAAACACCAAGACTTCGAATTATTTATTCTATTATTTTCGATTTAAGTCAATATTTATACAGGTCCTAGTCCCGGGGGGGTACTACCACCCCAACTTGGGTAGGGGTGTGCCGCCAGGACCTCAAAACCCTGACCCTATCCCAGACCTAAAATTTTGATTTTACATACCCTACCCCAAACTAAAACTAAGAATTGTACAGACTAAAAGCCGGAAAATACGGTCTTACAAGCGATTGCAATCAATATTTACTAACGTTTTTATTGTTTTTGTGTCGGCAGAAAGCGTAGCCTATTCGCCAGACAAAAACGACCAAATCGTTAACCCTATCCCAGAATAAAATGACACCCTATCCCAGACAAAATGTCAAAAATGATACCCTTCCCCAGACCCAAAAGCAGAAAAAGCATACCCTATAGGGCGGCACATACCCGTATAGCAAATATAGGGGAGTACCCCCCGGGCACCCAGTTTAGCAAGGCTAGTTTAAACGGGAGTCCTGATAGTCATGATTTGAAAACATAACCGGCCCTGCCACTCTATAATGCTTTATAAATATTCATACGTCTGCCCCCGCGGCATCCCATAAATTAAGATGGCCGCCGTATCAGTAAAAAACTCTATCAAGCCGCAAGGTGAGCCTCCGTTCAGCGGTAAAATTTGGCTAGATCATCACACCTTTTCAAGCATGCGCATACATGCTAACAACCCAACTGTAGAATTCAAATCCACGTCAGCACGAGAGGTTTCTGTGGTGCAGTAGTGGCCGGTCAATGACCCGTTTGACTGGGCTGATTAAAGTCAGGGTAGGGCCAACTCACAGATATTAGACTGAAATTTAGCGCGATAGGTTTTGTGGAGGAAGCTAGGAAAGCCGAAGAAAAGCCCAAAGCTTAGACACAAAATTTACTCACACTGACCCCTGATGCGGGAAATGAGCACATGTACACCCGGTACGTCATCCTTGCAATTTAGTGAGTTTCTGATAACAGCTCTTGAGCGCACTTTTCTTCTTTAATCTATCCACTTTATTTTTCATCCCAGTTTAAGTTTACATCGACCTTACTATTTCTCGATTACGTTATTATTAGCTTCCATAACGTATTCGTTTAGGTCAGCTTCTGCATCATACCTTCAGACTGCTGACTTGTTACGGTATAGATTACGTGTTTACTTGGTTTAAGGGCTTACTCTCTTCAAGTAAACGTTCTTTACACTGTACACATAGTTAGTAAATGCTTCGCCAGCGCACGGATGTTCTTCGTTGTACACATCACATGGCGTGAAGTACTGCCGGATGCATGTACTTGCTTCTCCATCTTGAGCATAATCCTCTGAGTTAGGGCCGCTCCAGCACTCTCCGTAGAATTGCAGTCCAATGAATTTGTAGCCCTTTGCTGCTGCCCTCTTTGCGCATTCACAAACAAGCCTTCAAAGATATATTTAGACATGATTAATATGAGAACATTTTTWCYCCCCCCCCCCCCCCATGTATATTTTAGCATTTTTATATTTTGGCATTCTTTTTATATTGGTTGCTATCACTTTTATATTTTAATATTCACTTATTTGTTATCTATTTTGCATATAGATCTATATTTTAGCTATAGTCTATCAGTGATGGGTACCCCCTTTGATGGACTTTAATAAATGTAGATGTAGATGTATAGATATCGTACAAATTATTGCAAAGCATCAAAGCCCCCACCGATCACCCCTCCCTCCTCCGTAAATGTATATTTTCGATCGTCGTTGCCGCGGAGAATTTAAATTGTGTATGTATAACCCATACCGAGTTCAGTTTATATAAACCTATTTACTTAGCTAAACAAACGGTTCGAACAAACGGTTCTGGGTGAATCCATCAATCATGATCAGCTACGCGCACATTTTCCTACACAGGCACCAGGGTTTGAAATTCATTACCAATCGATATAAGAAGCTCAAGTTCCTTAGCTAGTTTTAAATATAGTTATCGTAAACTTATAGCCTCTAGTTTATAGAGTGCAAATAATATACCCGTGAAATAGATAGCTAGCTAACTAATTACTAACTTTGTGCTATTGGTTGCCTAAGTCTAATTAGTCAAAGAAATAGGCGAGCCGTGACGGGTGAACTAGTGCACGTGTGCTACTCAAGGGCGCGCATTTTTAAATATTTTAAAGCACGCTTGCAAAAACTGAAACAATATTTTATTGTACATGCTTTTCCTTCGTATAATTTGACATGTTCGCATTTTCGAATTCGTATCTGTTAAACAAACAAGTGAACTTGATTCATGTTTTWTGACTTGATATTCAACTGATGACTGTATAATCTTCAATTGTCTAGTGTTTATAAAGTCATTGCTTTTTCGTTCTTAGCGTAAGCTAAATTACAAATGACGATAGTTTTTCTTCGTTAATTGTCCACACTGCGGGCAGAAGCAAAAGTGTCGTTCTACGAAGCTCACACAAGTAGGGCAAATACGGTTCGAAATGGTTTTTGGGCTGGCCAAAGCCAATACGCAGAAGACACCTGGAGTACTGGAACACAACATGCACATTGGAGTAATTTATGCCTTTCTCGCCATTTCCAAGGAACAAGTAAGAAGATTTTATGGAAGATCTTGGCGAATTTATATTTAACTGGCTTTTTAAATTGTCTAATGAATAACGATTTTGATGTTCTACAAAATTTAATGATAAAAAAATAAAAAGATAACAGAAAACACGTAGAAAACACGTTTATTTGCGTACTGGGTCTTTTTTAGCTATAGTTGTTTGAGTGTTGGTTTGTTTTAGTTTATAAATGCGTATTGTCTTGATCTTTAGCGTGATAAAACAAATAAAAATGGTAGAAAACACGTTCATTTGCGTACTGGGTCTTTTTTAGCTATACATGTTTGAGTGTTGATTTGTTTTAGTTTATAAATGCGTATTGTCTTGATCTTTAGGGTGATAAAACAAATAAAAATGGTAGAAAACACGTTCATTTGCGTACTGGGTCTGTTTGTGTCATGATTTACTGCAGAATTAAATGCGCGTCTTGTGTTTTGATTCTTAGCTCAATTCAATAAACTTGTTAGAAAAAACGTTCATTTGCGTAATGAGTTGTTACTCTAGTAAACGCCCGTGCCCTTGTCATGCCTCACTGAATTCCTATGTGTTGTCTAATTAAGCGCTAACTATCTCCTATTTAATCCTAACTATTTCACGGGTATATTATTTGCACTCTATGATAATCCTTTTGCATTAGATACCTAGTATTAGATTTACCCCTATTTATTCTAGTTTCTGTTCCATTATTTTAAGTTTTATATTAAGTTACATTCTATATCGTTTTTTCCCCCCATGAAATCTATTGTATTATTTTATATTATCTAATTTAGCTTCGGTATACTTTGTAATTAGTTTTTATAATTAGAAGGCCAATTAAACATTATCTACGATAAATTGTATACCTTCGTTGAATAACGTCATTATTATTGTTATTAGTATATGTAATAGGACTCCATGCTGTCCAATTAAGAAAAAAATTGGACGAGGAAAATTCCGAGGACTGACAAAATTGGATGAGGCCGTAGGCCGAGTCCAATTTGGCAGTCAGAGGAATTTTTCGAGTCTAATTATTTCTTGATTGGGGAGCATGGAATCCCATTACCTATTAATTATATAGCTGCCTAATTAATCCAATATTAACAAGACCTGTCCAATTAAGAGAATAATAATTGGACAGTTACCTATATGGGGTTAATGAGAAGCTGTATTATTATTATTATTGTTGTTATTATTATGCACCACTAGCTCGTTAAACATTCCACTGGAACCACAAGTAATAGTAATGCTTTCTTTACTTCCAGTGAATAAGTTTTTTTAAAGGTTTTTCTAATCATTTCGTTATTGTTTTATTATATCAAGAGCAGGTCCTACGCAAAGGACTATTTTCAAAATTACTATTAAAATCACGAGGTTACGAAAAGTAAAAACAATTTAGGCCCCGTCCGCACTATGCCGGATAAATTTCAATCCGAATTTTTATTTATTCGGTTAGGTCTACCGTCCACACTAGTCTGGGCGAATCCGGAACAATTCTTCACCGAAAACGAATTTTTGAAATGGAACCAAATAAATAAAAATTCGGATTCAAATTTATCCGGCATAGTGTGGACGGGGCCTTATACAGCAGTGGAGTGAGGTAAAGACAAAATGCTTGTATTGTAGATAACAGTAATCGTAACTAAACGTACTGTGATTGGATGAATATCCGGAAGACAATGTGAAGCCATTTCGATGTTACGGCATGTCGTACCATGTACGTGCTGCAAGTCAGCACCCCATATTTTCCACTCATACGATAACCGCTGTACAGCAAGTCCTACGGTGTACGTGCTGCACGAAAACCGCTGTAAGAAAATACTGAATACTCACCCGTCGAGACTTCCTTGCCAATTATTCCAGTCTAGATGAAGATCTTTTACGTATACGGGGTTAGTAGGATCCCGGATGTTGACCAGTTCTTCAGTCAGAGGTCTCGGTTTACTACCTCCTGCCCCATTGTCTCTGTAGCAACCAACTTTTTCGACGACATCCTTCATCACGCAACCACCATAAGCATCATTTTCTCTGTACACAATCTTAGCTATATATTATATTATTAGATGGATTAATAGTGCAAACACTTGTACTAAGCGTGCAACCTAATAACGTACTAAATAGATCTAAATTAGTACTAGGACTAATAGAGTGCATAGACTACCATATATTCGTGAAAAACCTTCGTAAGAAAAAACTATTAATAAAAAGAAATTTAAAGTGGACTGATATGGTTCAAGAGTTGATAAGAAGCTTTGAAAAGTCCTTTCACTGGATGTGAAAACGTCGCTCCCTCATTGTCATTGTACATGGCGAGAGTTTCTAGTCAACATTAAGAAAACAGGAGTTCTCTCTTCTCTCGACAACTGCATACACCCATTGTCGGGTTCAGCCGCTTGTTAATTAAGACAGCCGACAAATAACGCTTTTTATACCTTACCTGAGTACGACACTTTCATGAGGACGACAAGAACGGCACAGAGAAACCACTTCATTATGACTGCAAGGAACTTTTAAAATTAGCCTTGATGACGGGAACTGAAGTAAATATTATAAATACCTCCCTTGCATGCGATCACTGAGTGTGTGAACGAAGAAAACAACTTAAGGTGTTGACGATATTGCTGGATACGTTTACAAATTCATATTATGAGAGCCCTACCTGTATTGTTTTGGACGCTAGAAAGTCTGCTTTACTCGACGGCCAGAAGAGACTGGCTTAAGACTATTGATGGTACGAAGACCATCATCTATATATGCCATTATTTGTTGAGCAGTAATATATTTAACGTCCGTCTTAATGCTGATTATCAGAGAGATACTTCTAATCACTAAGGTGATTAGAGCGATACCACAGTTTCAGAGTGATACTTCATCACAATGGAAAGTCATTATAACCGAATGGATGAGCAAATCACTGTAATTAGAAAAACCAGTGATGAGTTTGAATAGGATTGTGACCCCCTTGACGATTCTGGTATTATTTATAAAGTTTCTACGCGTTTGCTAGGTCGGCCCATGAGGTAAGGTTAACTTTCAAGAAGATCCAGTTTTTAATCTCTTAGGAATTAGAATTTAGATCTTACACCGGCCAATCAAATTAGCCATGCCAAGGGTGAGAGGAAAAAACTGGGTCAAGTTTCATCGCATTTCAGGGCATTGTGGGAATGTTTTAGGAAAGAAATAGACGCCATCTTGGAATCGTGTCTCCCAGACCCACGATCGACTGTCACTCCTTGGATTAATGGTCAATTACCATAATGACTGTTAGGCCCCGTCCACACGTATCCGGAAATTTCTTGATCCGCCCTGATGCACGCTACTGCCTAGTCCCTTTGACGGATAGTTTTTCTTACTGAGCATGCGCAAAATCGTATTTACGTCAGGGTATTCGAAAATTTACGGATACGACCGTCCACACGTATCCGTATTCGGAGCGTATTCGAAAAATTTCCGGATACGGATACAAAAATTTCCGGACACGTGTGGACGCAACCCGTATCCGCAAAAAAAAAAAAAAAATTGCGGATGCAAAAACTTCCGGATACGTGTGGACGGAGCCTTAGACTGCAACTTATAACGACATTTGCGCTCATTAGTCATGTTAGAGTCTGTTTTTTTTTYCCAATCATTAGTATACCGTTAATTCTAAGGGCCCCTCAGTGATATCCCAAGAGTAACATTAGTCATGTAACAGTCTGGTTTTGTACAACCCGCATTAGTGATTGATTTTAGGGGCCCCTGATATTACCAGAGCAACATTAGTCATGTCAACTATTACGTTAATTCTAAGGGCCCCTGATATTGCAAGAGTAATTATATACGGTCGTTTATCGGTTGTTGCATAGTTATTAACTATGGTTATTGTAATATTCATAACATCAATAGGTTGCAATTTTTAGGAACGTCTGAGAAGTGTTATTGATAACCTTGAAAATAAATTAAAAAGACAGTTGGTAGATCAGTAAACGTTTACGTATGACCGTGAAAAGCTCGCGGCACGAACACGGTCGTGACACGGCAAGGCATACTAGACCAATCACATTGCGCGAGTATTTACTCTCCATCCAATCAAATACCCGAAACACGGCGCAAACACGGTCACGGCAAAGTCACGGCACTGCCTAAGTACCGGATGTGACCCAGGCTCATTACGTTGCGCGAGAAAATAATCAGCCGTTTAATTCTAGAAAACATCATGGTCAGCGTCAAGGCACGCATGCGGTTCCGAGCTTTTCGGCACGGTCATGCGAAAACGGCCCTATGTAAAAGTGGCTCATTTCATCATTCTGTATTTCTTGGAAACCTTCCCCCGTTCAACCAAAAAGAGCAAAAAGGAAATAAAACAAACAAACGAACAAACAAACAAACAAACAACAAACGAACAAGCAAACAAACAAATGAGCAAGTATTACGGGGTGATTTGCTGGTAGGGACTTTTATCGGAAGGCCAAAAGCATATTCTACAACTGAACTCCACTATACTAACTGACTGAATCAACTCAATGCATCCTTTCTATATGGATTTGCACAATAATCAAATTAAATGACAAGCTGTCAACATTATCCTGGAACAAACACCGAAAACAAGATTGGTATAAACACCTTTGATCTTGAATATAAATTACATCTTTTTAACAGCAAATTAGGTTTTGATGTTACAGGAAACGACTTTCACTCACGCTATCTATATCATCCTAGGTTCTTCTGAAATTTTTCGGCGTTCTTAGGTCGTCTGTAGCAACGAAAGCTGAAGATGAGCAAAATATTACTAGAGCCGATGTTCTTGAGCAAATCTCTAATAGAGTCTAACAGTCCAGTCACTGCTTTAATGCCCACAGCGTTAAGTTTTGTATCACTTATTTATAGCCGCGGGAGTTAAAACTTAAAAAAGATATGTTATATAATCGTTTTGTTTTCATCCTCGGGAAACACTAAGGTGTCAAAAAAACGCAGGCAACCCAAGGCTCTTTTTCAATAATTTATTAATTCGCTCTCTTGAGAAAATGCTATAAGAAATATAAAACTTCAGCTATGAAAATAAATTGTATATAGAAAAAAACCTAGGCAGCACGGAGCAAAAATTGTTTTTGGCGGGTCATAACTACCGTGACACGGTTTTCGGTCGTAAAATTTTATCAAAATAGGTCTTTGCTCCGGGCTGCCTAGTATCTTAAGTATCTTAAGGACGCATTTAAAGGAAGAAATTTCACAAAAAAACACATGTAATTCGTGTCGCGTGATCTCCGAAACGCTAGTCGTGTTTGTCAACACTCCGTACCCAGAAAGGTCAAGTCGTATTAATTTCTCTCATATTTCAATCAAAATGGCTTCCATAGATACGAAGTTTTTTGGCTTTTTTATTCTGAAGTATGGACTTTTACAAATCCATAAAAAACGTATTTAACTATTACAGTAGCAGTTAGGGATTGACCAAAAATTGAAGATTTTTTTCCCACTCTGAAACAGTCCAAGTACCTCAAGTCTAGTAGAGCTTGTTCCGGAAGGTGAAACAAGCGACAGAATTTTACCACTGGGTTACCGAGGAATGCCTGGTTTTAGATTAAATACAATAAACCTATCAAAGAGAATTGTATTAAATTAAGATTAAAATTCGGGACACAAAAATTACTTGTAACAACGAAATAGATACGAAAGAAAACAATGGATATGAGATCTACTAAGCTCTAATTAGTTTACTACTTAACTAGAGTGCAAACCAAATATCCGTGAAATAGTACAAAAACCGGGTACAAAAACTAGATAGCACTAAACACATTTATTTCTTTTTTCCCTTTAATTGCCTTCATTGGTGCTATTTTGTACTCGGTTTAGTAAAACCACTGTACGCTTGTTGTTTAGTACATACTTTTCGTAGGTTTGTTGCTTACACTCAAGTGAATTGTTATCATTGTTAACTGTCTTTAACTTTCTTTTTCCCTGATGCAACATATCGAGCTGAGCACCACAACATTTGGTAATAGATAGTAAACCCTAATATACAGAAGGCACTAACTACGAAAATATATTCTGCGTGGTTTGGGTAGGGTAGACCACAGAGGGTGTACCATTTACTGCCAGACACTGGAGGTTGTCCATCAGGTGTGCAGTGCCAGTCAAAGTAGCCTTCATCATATTCACTGGAACACAAGTAGGTTTTCTTGTATAATACCTATAGGTAAATTAAAAAATAAATCAACTTTTTTTAAGCCCCGTTTACACTAGCGATGTTTGCGGCGATGTTTGCGGCGATTTTTGCTGCGAATTTTTTGCGACTTTGTCCATTATAAATAATGGTAAAGAATTTACTTGTAAAGTTTTTCAGGATACCAAGATTTTCCTAGATGAATGTCTCTTTTGAAGGATGAGACAAAAGATTTCATATTTCCGAAAATTGCCACAAAAATCGCAGCAAAAATCGTCGCAAAAATCACCAGTGTAAACGGGGCTTTAGAAAGGGGGATGTGACAAGTTGCAAATTATGAAACTTGAGGACTGCGTGGTCTTCCAAGCCACGGTGAAAGAAAAGGAATGTTGATAGTAGTGCATGGTCATCCGGGGCATGGTGAAAGTAAACCAAAATTTAAGTAAGTTGATCATACTTTTACTGAAATTAGAGTATCTATTACCTGTCCAAGTGGAGTGTGGACTGGAGTCTTCTGGGTACAGTTACCAATCTCTTGGTGCAGTCCTGTGGACTTCATGTTCTCTGGCTTGGCAAATACAACTAATAGTAAGTAGAACAAGAAGTGTAGGATAACATTGAAGCTAATCTCATCAAAAACTCTCTTTTCTTTACTTTGACCTGCAATATAAATAACAGAAAAACTATAGTTAAGATTGATAGGTGCGAGGAAAGTGCAAATGTAATGGTCAAGGCAAAAATGCATGAATATGGTTTATCATGATGAAAAATGACCTGCATCGGTTAAGAAAATGAGAAAGAAAGAAAGAAAGAAAGAGAGAGAGAGAGAGAGAAAGAAAGAAAGAAAGAAAGAGAGAGAGAGAGAGAGAAAGAAAGAAAAGAAGGAAGAAATTTGAAGAAACTCACAGCTAAGAATCTTCCTCTTACCTATTTTCTTCTTTGACACATCATATGCAGACATGCTATCACCCCTGCTATTTAGATCAGGGTTCCTATCAGATCTCCACACAATCAGACCATACACCATTATCATAGCACATACCACCACCTCTGTGTGGATACCATAAACATCATGAGGAATGTGGTAGAAGAATATGAACTGGATCACACCGAGGGGCATCGAGAACAAACCAGTAAGTATCACACACACCACTTCCTTGAACCAGCTGAAAAAAGTTCAGATATTATATTACTTACTTGAACTGTGACCCTTTGTCTTACAGATTTCATTGGGATTTTTTAACCAGATGGGCCTGATTCTCTTCATGGTGTTTGCTATATATCCCCCTCCCCCACCTGAATTTTCAAGTCTTGTAGACTTTAGTGGGATTTTTGGACCATTTGGCCATGTTTCTTCACATATCATTGGGTTTTTGCTATATAGCCCCCTCCCCCACCTTTTGCTAACATCCACTCACAGTATTTTAATGTCTCAGATCCCTATGTAAGATTATGCATATTTTTTGCTATATTTTCTATTTTTAAACGCTGAGCTAGAAACAAGGTATGGCCAAGATAAAACTAATTTGGCTGGTCATCATGAACGGCCAATGACCGCAGTCGTTATTTTAAGCCCTGGGGGAAGTATGTGGCTTTCTTCCTGTCACAAAACCTGTTTGAGGGCTGGTATTTTTCTGCACCAATCAACAGCCTTCTCATCCCATGGAAAATGAATGCAACGCTTGATGCAAATGACATATGAAAGATATAGCTGGTCCAAGGAACCCAGTAATGGCGATCAAAGATGTTTGGATCTGTATCATGCCAAGTCCACCATAACAGCTTGATACCCATGATGTCGAAGGGAAAATCTAACAGAACATCAGCCAACCCAACTGCAAATGGTTCTGCACTGAATGGGAGTTTGAGTTTTGATACAGCAATAGATGCAGTGTAAAGTGTTGCTGGATCTGGAGGACAACGAAGTTATATATAAAAATCAAATGAAAATGAAAAGCAGTTCTGTGAAGATTTTTCACATTATCATGTACTTAAAAAAAAGTACAGCATTGGTGCAGCCCAGCGCGGTCGAACTGAAAGCATGTTAGAGGGAAAGAGGGGGGCATTTGGTCTCACCTTCAAATCATCCCCAAGAACTGTGGAGGAGGTGGGGCTCGTAGGGCGTTATAGCTGTCCACATTTTTACATTTTGAATACTAGTCTATATATCTTCCAATCTTAGCCCTCCCCCCTTCATTTTTTAGGATGCTCCAAGGTCCTTGACCCCTACTAGGAGCAACAGGCCTGTGTTTAAGGAATTCCTCTTTATGTGTTCACCTGTTTCTCTTTCTGATAACACAAATTATACTTACAGAAAAAGAAGATATGTAATGGAAGCCTCTTTTCTACAAGAATCACAGTGGACTGTGCATGCCAAAAGTTGTCGACATCAGGCACGAAGTAGGACACACACTCAGTCGTCAAGCCATGAAGACATATAGCAAGCCACAGAAGGATATTGCACCCACCATGACGTACAGCTGAATATTAAAAACCATATATAGTTGTGAAAGGCAAGTATTCGCAAAATTTCCCTTTATTTAGGGGAGAAATATATATGCAAATGTGATTCAGGGGGAGATCACCTTCACCCAAGCATGAAGGAACATTTTACAGTTTCTTACATGAAATTGAGAAGCACTGTAAAGTTCTTTTTTTTTGAATTCATCGCCTTGAGCATAGCCAAAGTCACACCCATAGGGGTTCAAAAGCTGTGGTCAATGGTGGCCCATTAAAAAATGACCCTGTAGCAATCAAGACTTTCAAAAAAATATCTCACCATGTTTAAGCGTCATAGCCGCCATTAAGAGATAAACAATCTCGCAGAGTAAAAAGGTTGGTTCGTTCTTCCATATTTCGATTGGATTACGAAAACTGATGAACCAAGAAAGAAAACCAGACGCGTCCGCCATCTTGGATTGGAGGTGTGTCGAGAGAGGTTACAAAGTTCTTGATATGATTAGGTGTATGGGACGGGAGGGATAGTATTTAAAAAACAACAACAAATATACATACAATAGATATCAGATTCTTTAAGAGAGTAAAACATTTGCTTTCATAATTCATTGGATATTAAATTATTCGATAAGTTTTTGTTTCTTTTAAAAATAGATTTAAGTTATGTAGCTTTTTCAAAATTATCGTTTACCCCTCCCCTGTTAGGCAGAGTTTGTCAAGTCATGGGACTTTGTTTCACAACTGGATAAAAAAAGCTTTTATAGTTTGTTGTTGTACTCGTTTCAATCCTCCTTGCTTTATTGCTGCATGGAAGTAAAATTCCTGCTATAGTTGTCTCATCCTAAGCCAAGACTACCGCTCTTTTACAAGCTGGTGACCTCCGAAAATTGTCAAGCGTCGTTTGAATCAAAGACCACAGTCTTCTTGTCTTCTTTCCATCTATACTTCGTTGCATAACTTAGTAGTCAAACTTAAGCTTAAGTCAAATTAATTGATAGTAATCATCAATTATGTCGAGCAAAATGCGTGTATTTGGATGGATCCCTAGTTCTGAGATGGTTTCGCAGGCGTTTGTGGATAAATTTTCCATTTTCTGGCGTTACATGCCAGGCACTGTTGGTATTGTCGTTGCTGGTATCATCACAATGATCTTGGGTAGCGCTCTCAGAGGTACTGTACTCTATTGTACTATACAAATATTATTTCACCTTTTTGTACATATATACGTACAAAACATGAGTGTTTATCATAGAGGCCGCTCAACAAAAACGTCCATTGTTCTGACAAGAATAGACCCATTCCGTTTCGGGAGGTGTAAGGGAAGGGTGTAGTGTTTTTTTCCATTTCAGATCATGTGTCTTTAAAACCTTCATCAACCTTTTTCAAAATAACTGTATTCTGTAGTCATGTATTTACTTACATGACCAATTGTTTTAACAGGAGAGTGGACACTAGTTCTTGTTTTGGCCTGCAAACAGCTTGGTATTAAGCTACCAGCTAGCCAGTCGGTAGACGATGATGTACCAGGTCTAATGGAATCAATAGGATTAAAGGATGTTCATTGGCACATACTGACCAACGTACTTAGTTCTACTGTTATCTACTTCACACTTGGTGGCTTCTTACAGTGGTACTTCTACATCAGACAAAGGGGAAGACCAGAAGATTGGAAATGTCAGCCAAAAAGGTAGAATAGAATAAACTTTATTTTCAAAGAACATATGTCGATGATTACAATAGATAATATAATAAAGATAACATAATACTAATAGAAACGAATCAATTACTATTAAGAAGACATCTATTAATAAAACTTCTTTTAAAACGCTCAGTTCTAACATGCGGTAAAATGTACGGATGCCCCCTATCTCTTAAAGCCCTAGTTTTCCTAGGCGGATAATAAACCACTCAAAGGAGTATCTGAAGCAACAGCATATACAAGCAATAGGTATATATAAGAAGTATATCCATCTTACTGAAGATCTACTCTAAGCATGCAAATGATCAAAACAGCAATCTTGAGTAAAAAAAACTACAGCCCTCAAACCTTCAAATTTAATGATGCCTGGCATGGATACAGCTTTTGGGCTTATCTAAGTCAGGGCACGTCAAACTCACAGATCAAATTGGAATGTAGTGTGTTAGGTTTTGAGGAGATGAAAAACTCAGTGAGAGACCTAACTCTATCAAAGAAAAGAATGATCTCATATTAGTAATAAAAAACAATATCTTGAAGATGATTTTAGACTGTATTACATGAAAAGGTTTTAGTTCAGTCCAAGATTTCCCTCCAAATATTGTTTTTTATTCGAGTTCTTTGATTGACAGTCACTGAAATGCTATTTGGTAAATGAGATATCAAATTTCAAGGTTTGCACTTCAACGATAATAGTAGTAATTTCTTTCATTCTAGGTTTCTTTCACGAGAAGAGGAGATTCACGAGATCACCCTGGGTACCATCAACATGATGAGCGGCGCTGCTGTATTTGGGGTTATTTCTTGTTACATTGCCAATGGTGGGTTTACTACTTTATACTATGACCCACTTGAAAGAGGCTGGCTTTATCTGTTCCTGTCCACCATACTTTTGTTCCTGTTTGAAGATGCTTGTGCATATTACTACCATCGCATGCTCCACTGGCCGTTCTTCTACAAGCGATTCCATAAGATACACCATCGCTACAAAGCTCCTACTGCTTTCAGTGCTACAGCAATGCATCCTGTTGAGTTCTTTGGATTCCAGGTGTTCATCATTGCCCCAGGTATTGATAAGTGAACATACAGGGGATAATATTCAAAAACTTTTAAAACCTGAAACTACCTCTGGGCTATTAGATAATTTCACATGACATCACAGCTGCCATATTGGTGTACTATTGGCAATAACTTTGTCATTAGTTTCTTATGTTAGGTACACCAATATGGCTGCCATCTCTATTATCAGACATGACGTCACGGCCGCCATATTGGTGTACTATTGGCAATAACTTTGCCATTAGTTTCTTTTGTAAGGTACACCAATACGGTTGTCATCTCTATTGTCAGACATGACGTCACAGCCACCATATTGGTGTACTATTGGCAATAACTTTGCCATTAGTTTCTTTTGTTAGGTACACCAATACGGTTGCCATTTAAGCCAGGGCATGGCTACATCTCTAGTCTAGTAAATTGAGTGTTATTGCATAGGGAGGAAAACTAGAGAACCCAATAAAAACCCTCAAATCAAGAGATAGAGGTCTAACAAACTCTACTTGCATGTGATGCTAAGTCCAGGATTGATAGTCTAGACCCCAAAGGTGAAATGCAAGTGTACAGGCCCCTATTTCACCCTATGCATCCATGTGTTGCTATTGATTGGGGACCATAAACATGTTTGTATTAGCAGGATTTCCATATTAAGCAAGTATCTAATAAACAGGGTCTCACATCTTGAGAAATATTACTTGAGATATCTATAATAAGGGCACTAGTTACCACCACTAACCTACCAACTGAAGATGTATGATAAATGATTTTACAGCACAAATACCAACTGTCTTCTAATCGTTTTTGCAGTGTTCATAATGCCAATCAATGCAGGAGTATATGTTGGTATCTTAATGTACCTATATTACTTCGGCATGGTGGATCATTCTGGTATTAACATGTATTCTATTGTGCCATGGCAACCACCAGTTATGTTTCATGACGATCATCACAAGTAAGACTTTTCTCTTTTGTTATCTAGTGTCTTTATATCCACCTACCTACCTAAACCACGTCCCCACCCAACTAGCTACTTACCAAGCTTACCCACACATCCACCTATGTACCCACCTACCCTCCCACCTAGCAACTTACCTACCTACCTTGCTCACCCACCTATGTATCTACATCCCCTTCCACCTAGCCACTTACCTACCTACCTTCCACCTATGTATCTACATCCCCTTCCAACTAGCCACTTACCTACCTACCTTCCACCTATGTATCTACATCCCCTTCCACCTAGCCACTTACCTACCTACCTTCCACCTATGTATCTACATCCCCTCCCACCTAGCCACTTACCTACCTACCTACCACTTATGTATCTACCTCCCCTTCCACCTAGCCACTTACCTACCTACCTACCACTTATGTATCTACCTCCCCTTCCACCTAGCCACTTACATACCTACCTTGCACCTATGTATCTACGTCCCCTCCCACCTTGCCACTTTCCTACCTACCTTGCACCTATGTATCTACATCCTCTTCCACCTAGCCACTTAACAACTTACACACCCATTCACCTATGTACCAACTTACCTTCCTTAAGTACCCAACTTCCCACCCTACCTACACCATCCAACTTGCCACTTTTGTATCTACCTTCCACCTATGTATCTACACCACCTTCCACTTAGTGTCACTTAACAAACTTACCCACCCATCCACCTATGTACTTACCCACCCTCCCACCTAGCTACTTACCTAACTACCTTACTTCCCATCTGCCTACATACCTACTTACCTAACTAGCCTACCTCCCATCTACCTATATACCTGCTTTCCCACCGTACCTTCCACCCTCCCTCCCTCTCTACCTCCCTCCCTCCCTCTCTACCTCCCTCCCTCCCTCCCCAACCACCCTCCTACCTACATAACTTTACTTACTCTCATTCATTTCAAATAAACTGTATCATTTTACGCAAAATGATTCATGTACTTAAAATTTCAGGTACTTTCATTGCAACTTTGGCTTCAATTCCCTGATTTTTGACCAGTTCCATGGAACTCTTCGTAGGACAGACCGCTTCTACTCGGAGGATACGTTTGGTGGCAAAGGAAAGCCTTTAAACAAGGCACAAAAAGCCCAAAAAGAATTACTAGAAACCACAGATTAATGAAATCCTATCTCTATTTTAATAATATTATTGCTGAAATAATTCAATGTTATACAGGATATAGCTTTTGATTATTTAAGATAAGGTAAAATATCCTTGCTGTTTTAGGATTTTATATGCATGTTATTTTAAGGTGAATTATAAATTACTGTAGCAAAAATTGGAGTTGTTTTTAGTAGTTTTATAACTTTTTCATACTTGGTTTTACGTGGGTTGCTATAATCTTTAGTTACCAGTTATCGGGGTTGGGATGTTAGCATATCGAGGGAGAGGGATACTTATCTTATGTTTGAAAAATATGGGGAGTTCTGTTAATTTGTTTTTAGTATTTTTCTCTTCAAAGAAGGTTTATTCTAAAGGCCCGTACGTTCTTGTGTTGTTGTTTTTGTTTTTTTTGTTGTTGTTGTTGTTGTTGTTTTTTGCGGTTATTGTAGTTTCCAAGAACTGATTTCGGCTTTTCGACTGGCGTTTCACTGTTTTACTGGGCTTTATAGCTCTATTTAATAGAGTGCACGCACTAAACCCGTGAAACAAATACTAACTTTTAGTACTAAATGGTGATAAATAAACAATAGAAAACAAAGGATTCTGTATGAAATAGTACTCATTAGTACTGATTAATGTTCACGGATTTAGTGCGTGCACTCTACTTCACTATTTATATAGATGTCTAAATAAGTGCTGTCCACAAATATGTTCCAGTGTTATCTCAGTTTAACATCCTCTTTTTCCGTTTACCGCATTTTGAGCTGCGTTGTAAGGAAATTCCAATCCTTTCTTGAGAAAATCGGTCAAAGATAATGTACAATCGCAGCATACGTTGAGAGGCGAGATAAGGATGAAGAGTATAGCAGCAATAAAACCGATAGGGAAGGCTACTATGAAGAGGATGATTAGCCAGATGATACCCCAGAGCAAACTACAGAATGCGTCAACCATCTTCGACATGGCGATATTGGATCAGAATCTGGAAAGAAAGTCAAGTTAAAAATCACGCGGTAGCCATGTTGACTTGAACAAAGATTTACCCCATGTGGCCTCACATTCAAGTGCTTAAGGATGAGGCTACGCGTGGATCTAGATCCTAGTATATAGTGAGCTAAGGCGCCGATGGTGCGTTGCCTGCGTTGCATGCGACGCCTCAGTATTGGAGAGTTTTAGATTTTTTTCTTCCCGCAAAGGGCAAACGTGACCACGTTTTCATCGTTTCCCTGTATTTTACTTTACCTCTTTCGAATCTTTCATATATCAAAAAAATATTCTTTTGTTTATCTACTACTTGTATTTTTTTGCGATTACTTTTCACCTATTTAAAAGAATTTTTCACTGATCAACTGACGTTACACGTTTGCCGTGAACGTCAATCTAAAACTCTCTATTGACAGTATTCGGGCCTCAGCGCTTGTTGAAACGCGAAGGGTGCTTGCCCCAGCTAAGTTCCTCGGTTGTCCTTCTTTAGCTCCTGTAATGCGTGGTGAGGCAAGCCCCCTAGCTCCCCCTTCGAGGCACTTGGACAACATTTGCTGTGTGGAATTATAGTTGTTGAACTGGAACTGTTTACGTTTACGATGCAGATCTAAAAAGCGCTTTAATCTGACTAGTCTATGAAAGGTCGCTTAAAACAAACCACGTTAAAACTATGCTGTTCTTTTTGTAAGTGTAACACCTTGTATCTCGGAAACCTAACCAAATATTGAATTCCCAAAAAATCCAACTCTAAAATCTAACGAAAGACGGAAATTCTCGCAAAAGTAGACAAACTTACCTGAAACGTCTGGTTACACAATGTGTTATATTTTTCTTGGCAGGAATCCTCTCCGTGTTATTGTTGCAGCGATACGAAAAGCCTCGCGTAGTTTTTCGTTTGTTTTGATCGTGTTTACAGCGAAGAATCATATATTATGCACGACAAAATCGCTAGGTCATTTTTCACCTGCCGTGGTACTTATTTGGTTTGTTTTGATATGTCGCATGACAATAGAATCTATTTACACAGCTATATAGAGTTGCAAAAGATATGTCATGATCTTTTTTTGACGGATCAAATCACAAAGTTATATATTACAGATAACATTTGAAGCTAGTTTATTTTAAAGGGTGCCCCAGAATGCAAGAACGTTATAACACATCGTGCCGTCAGTCTTTGATCAATTGCCTCAGACCCCGGCACCCCTACCTACCCCCCACTGGAACTATTGCACAGCTATCAGCAGTGGAAGATGAAACTCTCCATTTTGTATGATCAAGTCATTATTACTGATGAAGCAAATGCTATCATATTTCCACATAAAGTATCTCTTATATCATTTACGGTGAAACAAAACCGTTCGAGGGGTTTTCGGCCGATAGTCTCTGCAAAACACATCCAGCCAGCTAAATTCAAAAACCATAAAATTAATTGATTTCATGATGTTTGGTTTTGGCAGTGGTGCCCTACACTTTTTATCCCTTCTTTGTCATACAGTCTCATTCAGTCTCATGAAAACAAAAATCAAAAATATTGGTCTTGAAAATTTGCGTGTTTCCATTTTTTTCAATATACGTGGCAACAAAAGAGCAGCTAATATTGATAATGTCAGATTGATTATAAGTGTTCGATCATTAAATGACAGAAGCCAACTCAGATGTGTACTCAGTGTTCGGGTCGTATAATGGGGTGATTGATTTGTTATTTGAATAATTTCTTTCACACAAACTTAAAAATTGAGGGCCACAAGTTTATTAGTGTAGTACACTATTTAGTGCCACCCTCATTAAATAAAGTTATTCTTCTTMTTMTTATTATTATTATAAAAATGCAGTATAATGTTTATTTTCCATTCGTTTTGTGTTTTGTCAAAATGGTACTCTACGATGTCGCACAGACTCATTCGTCAGGRTGACGATTTTCTTGGTCCATTTTCTCTTGCTTTTACTATTTGCCGGTTCGAGTACGGTTCGAGTACATTATGATTAATACAATGCAAGCAGATAGGGTTCCTGCATTTTTTAATCAACCTTTGGGGTCTTTGATAATATACGTTTGAAATCTGACGCCCCTCTTAGGTCTCACTGTACCCCACCACACCCATCATTAACAATTGGAATGACAAAAACCAGAGTAGATAATCTTTTTATAAAAAGCTACGTTTACTCTAAACTTGTCATTTGTATTGAAACTCTTCGTTTTTTTGCTTCAAAAGGTAACTCGTTTTTGGTGATTTTTATTTGACTCCCAGCTTCGCTTCACAGTTACTATAACGGAAGTACGTCACACGTTACCTTTCATCGCCCAAGCACGTGACACAACATAGAGACTGCCAAGGTTTTGTCCATATTTGAGGAGCGTTAGACACAGCATCTAAGAAGCTTGTTAAACTGAATGACGCCGTAGAACAAAGCTTAAATTCTTCGTATAATCAATGGTACATCTCTAGGACCAGCTTTGATAACTCCGATCTCTTTGGGATCTCGAAATCAAAGCCCTACAGACTATCAATATGGCGTACTGCAGTTTGGCATTTGTCTGGATTGTTTTTGTGGTACCTTGGCTGACTTGTTCTTTGACTTCTGGCGAAAAGGAGCCCAAATGTCTTGGGGAATTTAATATTATCTTTATTCTAGACAAGTAAGTCTTCAATCAAGAATGAATTGATAGTGTATTAAGTATTATAGAGAATAATATTTAGGGAGTTTTAGCAATCAGTATATCAAACTCACTGAAACGTAAGATTAAATTTGCAAAGTTTTGACGATCATTCCCCCTCTCAATACTTCTCTTGTTATCTTTCTCTTATAATCTGTTTGTATTTTGAAGTATTTTTGACACTTAGAAATCGAACTGTATAGATATAATTCCATATAAGTACACGTATAACAATATTATGAACATCTCACGAGCAAGTACGAAGCAGCTCCCTTGTAAATATTATGCTCCTTATGCTTTGAGTGTCTGGAAGATTGTCAAAGCGGAAGTGCACGTGTTTATCACGAAAATGAATAAGGAAGGGCTGTACTTCCGACAGGAATCTTGTACGCTATGTTATAGTTATCGTTTCCATAATTTTTTTGGCAAGTGTATAGAAAATTAAAGTGTAGTAATGGTACTCATATGTGACATAGTGTTCCCCTAGATGGCCAGATGTTCCCTATCAACATTATCAAATAGGTAATATTGATGTGCCACAAAAAGGTTGAAGTATTACACCTGGTTCTTGCACTTAGCTCATATTCATATAACAATATGCGGGCATAGTAATCTGAGCAAGGTTATGAATCTGACCATATGGCACTAGGGCAGACTTGTACTTAACATTTAATTTATTCTTTCTATTCGCAATGAAATGCACGAGGAAATGCATGGGAAGCATGGGTTACCTGCACAGCAGTGAGAGGGCTCACCTATCACCAATCAATACTGGCTGAGAAAGTGTTGAAATCCTGTGAAAAACCTGTGAAAACACCTGGTTTTTGTGACTACGACCTATATGATATACATGTATACTTTCTCCCAACTAGCCACCAATTAAACCTGTATATATGCAGCTCAAAAGTGCAATAACTAGTATTATAAAATAACTGTTATGAATGTCACGTTCTGATTGGTTTGGACCACGTGCTTTATGAGAGCACATTGCACACATGTGCGCTTTCTGTTGCATTGTTCCTATCTATTATTGTAATTTGTATTTTATAAAAGAAAAAAAAAACTTGCTGTGCTGTGTGCAGTCATAAAGCACTTGGGGATTGGCCGAACACTCAAGAAGTGTCCAGAAGCACTCCACTATGCATAGTGCTTCTCCTAACACTTCTCTCGTGTTCTGCCAACCCCTGCGTGCTTTATGACAGTACACAGCACGCGCACGCATTTTCTATTTCTTCAAGAGTTTGTTTCCGTCTTTTCCTTGACTTAAGGGTCTTACTTTGAAGTATTGTATTCCATTCCTATGACTGTCAAAGTCATTATATAGTAAAGGCACAACTGCAAATATGTGCCAAACATTTTCTGACTCATATAATGTTCAATATTTATGTCATTATGTTTTTCTTATTATTATTTTAGATCCTCCAGTGTCCCAACATATAATTTCCAAAAGCAAACTGTAAACTTTGTTGAGAACATTACCAATAGTTTTATAAGGTAAGATTCATGCAGTTAAATTATACGAAGTTGATGCAGTTTACTACAGCAAATTCAGGTTTAGCATTTAATTAATGAAGTGCTGGTTGTTGCCGATGGTTTAGGTTGCACATTATGCAGAATGCCTTCTAGGTGGCTGGGAACATGTTACATGTTTCAGTGTGGAGCAGGAACATGTACATTTTAAGCTGATAGAAGCATTTGGCACTCAGCATGACAACCTATTGTAGCTACATACAAATTAAACTATCACATCAATCGTGGCAAGAGGCACTGTTAAAGGCTCAACCTGAATCTGTTGTGAATAGGGGTTTTCTTATTGATCATGTGCATTTGAATATATTTTATTACATGCAATAATGCTAAATGATACACCTGCAACAAACAGACCTTTCATTGCACAAATTCCCTTGAGTGACCACATAAAGCAATGGTCAATAAGATTCCAAGTCTAGGTTTTACTTGATGTGTTTATACATTTACTGTACTATTTTATCAAGGCCATTCTAGCTCACTGGGAGCTATTGTTTCATGGTCACTCAAGGGAATTTGTGAAATGTTTGTTTGGCTGATCATGAAGAGTAGCCTTGAAGGTACTATGGAAATCACTAGAGTGGTAAAACATCCGTTGGAATGCACGTCTCGTGGCGGTAGATTTATGTACCACGTGATGAGATTTTTGTGTACCACGGGATCATGTTTGAGAGCATGCCATTGTAGTAGCATTCGATAGAAAAATGAGCTTCAAAGCGGATGATTAAGCAGAAACGTTAAAGATAAGTTCACCAATGCAAACTTGAACTATTGCCACGATTATCTGGACTACATGCACCAAGTTTGATCCATTCAAACTGAATATTTTCGACGAAACCAATATTTCTTTTCATGACTGCAACAAGCGCTACGGCTACTCACTCCAGACAGTTTTATCCTCACATGGTACACAAAAATCTCATCACGTGGTACATAAATCTACCGCCGTGAGACATGCATTCCAACAGATGTTTTACCACTCTAGTCCACACTAGTGTTTACTAGCCATCATCTACATCATCTGCGTTTTACCACTCTAGTGATTTCCATAGTACTGTAGATGGGATGAGGTGTGTGTGTTGTTCTGGGTGGGCGGACATTGGAAAGCATACCACACATGTATATTACCCATGCATGAAATTGTGTGCATCTAAAACACCAATTACCTTAAGGAATCAGGAGGCAGGGTATAGTCGAATGATATACTGTATGTACAATTACGTGTGTATAATAACCAAGATTTATTAATATTCTTTCTACAGTCCTGGAATCTCATTTATTACATTTTCTGGTCCTGGTGAAGCTAAAGTTGAAATGGACTTAACAAGAGACAGGTAAACCTTATTTGTTGTGGTACAATGTCTTTTCGGGAAGCATGGGCTGCATCATCAATGCGACCCGTGCTCGAGTCCTGCCGGGTTCAGTGTCATATATGAGTAGAGTTGTTTGTTGGTTCTCTCCTGTGCTTCAAGGGTTTTCCCGGTTCTCCGGTGTTCCTCCTTCCGCAGAAATCAACTTCTTAATTCCAATTTGATCATGGAATGAGGGCCACAGGTTTGTTAGCCACTGGCTATTAAGTGTTACCCTCATGAAAAAAGGTCGTTTTTTTTTTCTTTCCATTTACAGTCTACAGCATGACCTGTTTGATTTGCATTGTATCCATACTCCTGTGTTTTCTTATGTACAACCGTTATGTAAGAAAAGCCAATGGTACTCTTGGCAATGACACATGCCCAGGGGGTGTACTCGGGTGGGTAACATGACGGGGAGGTGCGACGTATTTTTTGGGGTTGACAGTTTTCGTTCCTGGTATTTTTTGGGGTCAAGAGACCAGCCACATATTTTTTAAGGTCTCGAAATGAAACCCGTATTTTTTTGGGTCGTCACATCTCCAAGTTCGATTTTTGTATCAGAAAATTATTTGTTTCATTTTTTTCAGCAAGGCGTGAGTGAGTTGCGTGAACTGAATTCAATAAATCAGTTTTTAAGTATTTAAGTCTTGTATTTTTTTGGGTCAGAAAATTGGATGCCATGTATTTTTTTGGATGTAAAATTTTAGGTTTGAGTATTTTTTTGGGGTTGTAATATGAAGCTCAGTTGGACCCCCCCCCCCCCCCATCATGTTACCTGACCAAGTACACCCCCTGGGGACAAATGGTCTGCAATAGGAAAACATTGCACCAAGACAAATAAGGATTATTCATGAACACAAGATATATAGGAATTAGTGTTTGAGTTACCTGCCTTCTAACATATAATATTTATAAAGAAATCTGTGCATGAGTAGATCTGTACTTTTTCCCTACTGTATACTATAGAAACAAAATAAAGAAGGGACTTGAGGACCTCCGCAAGGTACAACCTAAAGGAACCACGTACTTGGCTGGTGGAATAGCAAAGGTAATGATAAAATAAAACATTGAGTAATCTTTATTTGGAGGCTGAAAGCACCTAAGCGATTTATATATATTGCCATGGGTTCTTAGCCGGGGGGGAATACTCCCATATATGGACTATACGGGGATGATCCGCTGAACAGGGTATGGTTTTTCGAGCTTCTTATCATGGGTATGCAATTTCACTCAAATTCCAAGTTCTCCCTGAGTTTCCTGTCATATTCAAGGTTTCTACTTTCATAATGATCGAAACTGGTTATTATGATTGCCAAAAAATCAATACGCAAGCTGGCATGATAATTTAAACAGGAACTCAGGGTCTACAAATTAGAGGTTTTTTTGTCATAAACAGGGTACCCCTTTCAGAATCCCAGCAGAACACCCCTACCCAAATCCTGGCGGAGTACCCCCACGGGGTTCTTAGACCTGAAATCAAACTACATTGTAAATTTTTTTGGTTTATGCATTTGTTATCTGGTTTGGTTTGATAATGTAAATAATATCATGTTAAAGTTAAGTTTATTTGAATTTAATTTCTGCACCTTTTCTTGGATAAACAGGCAAATGATCAAATAATCAGATTAGGTAAGTGTATTCCATGAAATACCTAAATACCTTCCATGAATTAAGGGAATAAAAGGGAAATTTTATTTTAGATGATCATTGATATAGTGTTATTTAGCAAGGGGTGGGGGGTGACTAGTCATCCCACTCACCCCCTCCCCCACTGGATCTGCCCTTGAGAGGAGGAGGTAAACTTGAATTTAAAGACCCATTGCCACTTACCGTGATGCACCGTGGTCACAGATGAATTTCGTGGTCCATGAAATTCAAAGATTCATATATTGGATAATAACTTCATATTAAATCCTTTTCCGACATAGCACTGAGGCACAAAAATGATTCTTTTACATTCTTTTACGGCTTTAGGGACTATCTAAGAGTTTATTCAAAAGGTTGGAATTGTTTTTTCAGTGATGACACGATTCAAAATGTAAACAAATTGTGATGCATCTCGGTAAGTGGCAATGGGTCTTTAATGGGGGCCTGAAAGAAAATCTAAAACAGTGTGTTTTAGAGCTTCATCATTTACAGCCATTTTATTTTGGGTGTAATGTTTTCCCATGTCAGAACATGTGTCATTCCCTAGAGCATTGTTTTGTTTAATGGTTGTGCATGAGAAAACACATGAATTTATATGAATGCAACACAAACAAAGCATTTTTTATTCTCAAGAGAATGATACATACAGCTGTAGTCTGAAATGGAAAAACAGCATGCAAGCTGAAAAAGACAGTGTAGTTAACTGTTTCTCTTAATTATTTCCTGTTGACAGGTCATCAGACTGCTAGTGTTGTACTTATTGTTACAGATGGCCGGGTTTATGATATTCAGGAATCAGTTCAGCAGGTAAATAATCCTGAAGATATTTTACGTTATCTTGACTTAAATCAATGATATTACTGGTAAATTATAAATATCAAACAACACCTCAATAGACCTCCTCGGCTGTGACGTAATGTTGTCCCATTTCAGACCACATGTCATTCCCTAGAGTATCATTTCTTTGTTTAAGGTTTGCGCTCGGTTGCACATGAGAAGACACATGAATATGGATACGACTCAAACCAAGAATATTATTCTCAAGGGAATGACTGGCGCTCGAGCGCTCCAGAGCCGAGGAGGTCTATTCTTGGGGTGCATGTTACATCATAGCCTCCATATCGGTTGGTGATAACCAAGCATTCCTCATTAGCTTTTCTTGTTAGATCAACCAACATGGCGGCTGTTTGATTTTTGAGCCATTTGATTTTGAGTCATGTGTTTGCACTACAAGAATAACAATCATCTTGCATTGACTCCAAGTCTATAAGGGGTTAATAAAGATGATTGAAAATTTAGAAACCCGGGCACATTCTGTTTGCAGTTATATAGCAAATGAGCCAGAATTGATTCTGTTGCCTTAATTAAGCAACAGATGGTTTACATCTAAAGTTTGGACCCGTCAATAACATATTTTATTTTCAGGGAGACAAAGCAAGATCGTTAGGTGCATCCTTGATAACAGTTGGTGTTGGAGCGTACGTACTGGAACAGGTAAGGGATTTGTGGAGAGATCGGCTTAATGAAGAAAAAAGAGAAGGAAGGAAGGAAGGAAGGAAGGAAGGAAGGAAGGAAGGA